GACTACCAGGAGCTGCTGCACAACTCCACCTTCTGCATCGTGCCCCGGGGCAGGCGCTTGGGCTCCTTCCGCTTCCTGGAGGCTCTGCAGGTACAGGGTGGGCAGGGGGACAGGGGACCCTCTCCTTGGGGTCCGAGGGGCTCTGTCCCAGCCCTGTGGGGTCCCACCACAGGCCGCCTGCATCCCCGTGCTGCTGAGTGACGGCTGGGAGCTGCCCTTCGCCGAGGCCATCGACTGGGGCAAAGCTGCTGTCGTGGGCAGTGAGAGGCTCCTGCTGCAGGTACCGTGGCTGGATCCTGCCCCAAAAGGGCACAGGGGACCCCAAATCTTAATTTCAGTGGTGGTGGAGCCCCCAGCCAAGTCCAGGGGTGAAACCTCCGTGGCCAAGTCTGGCAGCTCTCATGTAGATGGATGCAGGAGAGTCTCATCCAGCTTGGAATGGGGGTTCCATTCCATCTGCAGCCCTGGGGCATTGTTTATCTTGGGGGGTGACCAAGACCCATCCCAGACTCAAACCCTTGGAGGTCCTGGGCCACATCCTGCTCCAGAGAGAGGAGATGCAGCACCACAGTGGAGTGGTGGCACAGCATCCTTGCCTGGGGGCAGGGGGGTTTCCCTTGGGATGGTTGGAGGTGGTGGAGGCAAGGAGCCCTGCTGGGGGGCTGGGTGGTGCTGAGAGGAGAAACCAGCTCCTCCCTTCACAGATCCCTTCTGCCGTCCGCTGCATCCACCCGGAGCATGTGCTGGCTTTCCAGCAGCAGACCCAGTTCCTGTGGGATGCATACTTCTCCTCTGTGGACAAGATCGTGCACACCACGCTGGAGGTGAGGCCCCCACCCCAAACTTCCCCTCGTAGCTCCCGGGGTCACAACCAGGGTGCTGGGAGCATCACTCTGGCCTCTGGCAGATCATCAAGGACCGTCTGTCTCCGCACTGTTCCCGCTCCCGCTTCCTCTGGAACACGCTGCCCGGGGGGCTCCTGGTCCTGCCCGACTTCTCCACCCACCCCGGGGATTTTCCCTTCTACTACCTGCAGCACGGTAGGACCCCACCTGTCCCCCGCTGAGCACGGCAAACTCAGTGCATGCCACAACGTCTGTCTTCTCTCACACCCTTTTTTCAGGCTCCAGCCCCTCCGAGAAGTTTACAGCCTTCATCCGGGTCGTCTCACAAGCAGGTTCCCTCTCCCAGCCCATCCTCAGGCTCATCCAAGCCGTCTCTGGATCCCAATACTGTGCCCAGGTGGGAAGAGCGGAGCCCTGCGCAACCTGGTGCAGCTCCCAGGGATCCAGAAGGAGGGATGGGGCAGGATCCCATGGGTTGGGAAGGGGATGGATGGGTTTAGGGGTTGGAGGGGGTGGCTGATGTTACCCTTGGGTGGGCAGAGCTGTATCCCCAGCCCCCCCGGGGTGGAGGTGGGACCACCTGGGGGTTTATCCTGGTCCAAACTGCCACGAGGTGGTTTTGGGATGAGCAGACACACCTGTCCTCCCCCCTGCAGATCCTGGTGCTGTGGAGCTGCGAGAAGCCACCACCACCGAGCGGGAAATGGCCCCAGACCACCGTGCCTCTGACCATCATCCAGGGCAGGAGGAAGGTGAGAGGAGCTGGGACGCAAGGCAGGGAGCCAGGACGGGGGCAGGGAGCTGGGACACCCACCCCATGGCACAGCCCAACCTGTCTTTCCCCCCTTCATAGCCCAGCGACCGCTTCTTCCCCTACACGGCCATCCAGACGGACGCAGTGCTGAGCCTGGATGAGCACACCAGCCTCTCAACCAGCGAGGTGAGGCCGTGGGCACCACGGTCCCTGGTCCTTCAGATGCTCACAGGGCTGGAGGGAGCAGTGCCTGCTGTCCCCATGTCCCCACACCCTCTGGGAGAAGGCAGGGGTGGCGGTGGGTGACCCACAGAGGGTGACACCGTCCCCCCACCCCGTGCCAGGTGGACTTTGCCTTCGCGGTGTGGCGCAGCTTCCCCGAGCGCATCGTGGGCTTCCCCGCCCTGAGCCACTTCTGGGACCCCGAGCAGGGGCGCTGGGGCTACACCTCCAAATGGACCAACGAGCTCTCCATCGTCCTCACCGCCGCCGCCTTCTACCACAGGTACCCGCCCGGGGAGGGGCTGGGGGGCAGGGGGATTGGGCCACATCCTGCCCCCCACCTCGCCCCCTCCCCAGGTACTACCACAGCCTCTTCACCGAGTACCTGCCGGCGGGGCTGCGGGAGCTGGTGGACGGCCTGGCCGCCTGCGAGGACATCCTGATGAACGTCCTGGTGGCCGCCGTCACCAAGCTGCCCCCCATCAAGGTCGCCCAGAGGAAGCAGCACAAGGACACGGTGCCCCAGCAGGTAGGGTGCATGGGCGGGGGTGTG